AAACCTCTCCTCTTGGAGAGGAAAGATAAATGCTGTGCTGGACAGATAATGTTTTAGACATTCAGGCTGATTGATTTGTCAGCAAAACTGTTGTTACAGTACATGCTGTAATGCAATTTAACACCAAATTGTACCAAATAAGATGGAGACGCAGGATGTTTTTTACAGCTTCATTTCAGCATTTTAATGTAGAAATATTGTGCTTCTCTAAATAGAGTGGGCAGGTTGCTGCAGATGTCTGAAGGTGTTTTGTTGAAGTTCACCTTGGGTGAAATGTTCAGTAGCAGGAACAGAAATTAGCTTTGAAATAATGAAACAGCTTTGTGTGACAGCTCCGTTTCATCAGTTAGTGAGTTTGGTCTTAGTATAGGAGCTTAGTGATGGAGTTGAAGTATGAAATAAGAACTGCTGACATGTGTCTTGTGTTGATCTGACCATGCTTGAAAGGTCACACCCATTTTTCATTGGGTGAAATCTTACCGGCATTTGGCAACAGTACTCTCTTATGTGTAAAGAGAGCCAAAGGTGTTTTTTTTTTTGTGCGTGAACATTTTTTATACATAAAAGGTAAAATTTAAGTGCTGTAATGCACAATTACTTTCCCTACTCTTGCTTGTGGTAGGGTTGACTCACACTCATTAAGAGGAAGTAATTACTGTATTCTACATAAAGTATGAAATATGCAATTGGGAGATTGCGTTTTTAAATCTCCAGTTTAATTTCAATTGTTTTAATCGCTTGACAGCTCTAATTCAAATCTAATTAATTAGAAGTTACTGTTCAATTGAAACTGATTAATTACTTCATTGACTGGAACTGAATGGAATTGGGTGCTTTGTGTTTAATGCAAGAAGAATGGAAATTATCTGGAAAGGTTTTTTTTTGAGATATTGAAATACATTTTAGTGAAGAGCTTTATAAGAAACCTTTTTAGAATCGCCATTGTGAGACATTTAATCGAACGTATTTAGCTGAGCAGTATTTTATGTTCTTATTCAGGGACATTTTTACTAATTTGTCTAGTATGAGAGAAGTTTTAGTTGATCTCTGACCCAGGGAGAAGTGTCTTGGGGTACACGGTTGAGGGCAGAACTTACTAATGGGCTGCGTCCTCTATTTTCTTCTTCTGTCCCCAATAAACTCTAATAACTGGCCAATAAAAGCTCAGTTTTCCTTTATATGAATGCCTATAACCTTATACCAAAATCAAGATTTTACACCACATATTTATGCTATACAGCTATGTGGCTACGGGCCCTGTGACTGCTCACAGGCAGAATGACCGAGGAAGTGATGGCAGCCTCCTCCAGTGCACCCCACCTCAAGCCAGTTGATTTTTCACACAGCACAGGGCTACACAGCCCTATACTGGCGGCTCCAGTATTGTTGTGCTACCTGTTGGG